TTCTATATTACTTAAGAAACAATTTCCATTATTTTGCCCAAAATATGTTGACACATAACAGTTGTTTTATTTCAGCAATGTCATCACGATTATGGTCAAAACTAAGCTTCCGTTATTTCCAAGGCCAGGATGCAAGATGTCACTCATTGGGTAAAATAAAATCATGAAAACAAACAAACTTTTGTTTGATTTTTATTTATTCATTTATTTATTTTTTGAAAAACTTCCTATGTTCACCAAGCTGCATTTATTTGATCAGAAATGCAATAAAAACTGTAATATTATGACATAGCATTCCCATTAAGGTCACACTTTATTTTAAGGTCCAATTCTCGCTGTTAACAACCCATTAACTATGACTTTTGCTTATTAATAGTTAGTAAGGTAGTTGTTAAGTCTAGGTATAGGGTAGGATTAGGGACGTAGAATATGATCATGCAGAATATGTGCTTTATAAGTACTGTACTAGTAAAGAGCCAGTATGTTAATAGCATGCTAATAAGCAACTAGTTAAAAGTGAGAATTGGTCCCTATACTAAAGTGTTACCAAAAAAAAAACAAAAAAAAACGTACAGACCCCATAATTTTGCAATGGTGGTGTATACAAATAGCTGGGAAATCTGGACAGTAAGTGTTGAATGGTAATCTGTTTGTAAATCGTGTTTTGTGAAAAGCAGAATTTTAGAACTTTATATTGTGATTGTGTTGTTTGTCTCTGTCTAGACTTTCCAGTCTTTCTCTGTTCCTCCTGAATCTACGGATGTACCCATCATTCCCTCAAATTCTATATAACTTTCTTTTGATGATGTGGCAAAATCTGTCTCCCTGCTTAGAGACTTGAGGATTTCTGCAAACAGGAGATAGAAAGGATATCTGGTAGACGTGTAGTGCTTGCAATTTATTTATGTTGAAATATTCGACTGCATCATGTCACACGTAGATGTAATTGCATAAAATCATAAAACGTTAAATCTCTGGTGGTTTTCATAGTGTCATACATCTGGATCATTCCCACCCCAAACCCCAAGACCAGAGAGGACTTCTTACAATCTATGTGCACATGATTCTCTTTATAATCTGATGCTGTTTGATTCTGTCATATGAAAGTTTCTCACTATTTCAGCTTGTTTTTCAAAGTTGATTAATTACAATATTTTGTAAGAACTTTTTTCAAGAATTTGAATTATTTTGAAGTGTTTTCTTTTTAACAATCTTAAGATTCATTCGTTTAATTTACACAAAATATTCAGTGTCATGTACAAGCAGTCAATTTCCCTCAGCAAACACCGCAAGCGATTTCTTGAATGTTTATTGCATGAAGTACCTCTTTTAAGGAAAGACAAAATTATATCTTGTAAATAAATAACTATTTTAAATTATATGTAAAAATATTGGTAAATTATAGATTTCAAAGTATATATTTTTTATTTCCTCCAATTCAATCAGTCAGTTATAATTATAACTGACTGACTGAATTATAATTATAATAAACGCCTTCGTCTGTCTGAAGAAAACAAAATGGCTTCTGACACTGGCATAATCCAGCAGTATAGATTTGATCGTCTTCAGGTGTTGTGTAGAGAGTGTGTGTGTGGACGCTGCTACTAGGAATTGGAGTGCAGTGGTTATGGTGTCGCTATATCAGTATCATATAACAGCATTGGGAGGAAGGAAAAAGCATGTGTGTTTGGATTCAATTGTCAGTCATGGTGTTACTTCTGTAGTCTGTCCAGTTGTGTATCTTACTACGATAAAAAAACAGATTCAACTTTCCATACCACCCAGCTGCTCTACACTGTAAAAAAAAATCTGTGACATTTACGGTAAAATACCGGCAGCTGTGGTTGCCAGAACTTCCCCGTTAAAAATATGGTAGAAACATTTTAGGTTTTACAGACTTAACTTAAATTCACAATAAAAAAACAAACGCATTTCATTAACGGATGTAATGTTAATAAACCAGCAAATTGAAGTACTATTATATGTTTTGAACCATTGTAATGCCGATAACCACAAAAAACAGGTGGTGATGAGAAAGTCACATGATGAATCAAAGCTCATCACAAACAGCTCTTCCAAAAGCTGAGAAGGGAAATACTAATATATATATATATATATACATAGAAGGTGCACAGTGTCATTCACGCAAACACTAAACACCATCATGGTAACACACATGATACTGAAATAATGCAATAAACATTCATTTAACAACATTAGATGTAAGATAAAACACTAATGTACACAACTGATAAGGAAAAACTAAGAAACATTATTTCAACGAAAAAACATAAAATAAAGAAGTGTCATGCAGAGAATTCTGGGAGTGTCAATTTACGGTTTTTCACTGTAAATTATACAATGACTTCCAAAAACGTAATTTTAACAGTATTTTACTGTAAAATTACATTACATGTAATTACAGTTATTCACCGTATATAGTATGGAAACTTACTGATAACCAATTAACAGGTTTTTACTGTAGCATGTTTACAGTCTTTTACTGTTAAAATCACAATCATTTTTTACAGTGTAGAACAGGAGTGTATGTGGATCACAGTGCAGGAACTGTATCCTTCTACAGCGCCTCTGACACAATGACCCTCAGAGATCAGACCACATTCACTCTGCCGCTCTATCCTGGGTTGTTACTTCCTTTTGGATCCACTATAAACTTGCTCTTGTGAAAAGTGTACTAAAAATGTCCACAAGAATAGTAGTAGTTTCAAAGCTGATATACTTAACATACTTAACCTCACAGAAATAGTTACAAACTCAAAATCCTAAACAACAACACTTAAAATGTATTTCTATTCATCTTGAATACGTTGCATACCTGTATATTCTTCAGTTATACTTATTGGCAATTGTATATCAATATATTTGACACTGCATTTTAATGTCATTATTATTTGAACAAGAATTAAAACAGTATCGAGTGCATAAATATCTAGTAATACGCTAAAGCTATAGCTTGTTTTATGTTGTTTGTTATTCACCGTGTAAATAAAAGAGCTGTAATTTTCTTTGTAAAATTACAATATTTGTCAATATTTGTTTTGACATTGTAAGTATTAATTAAAACAATCTTATTTAGATCTGCCTCCATCCAATCAACAAACAATGGATAGAACCAAGTCCCCACCCTACGTTTTTTCTTTTCTTTTCCGATAATCCGCTTCACTTAGATGTACGTCACAATATGGAAGAAATGATCTGTCGCTACGTCCATTTCAACACAATTTAAAGACATAATTCAATTTCATAATTCAAACTCTTGGCAATCAGTTTCTTTGTTGTTGTCTTTTGAAAATATATGAGAAGAGGTAGAATTGTGGAGAGGTAGGCTATGAAAAATAATAGTACTAAAATGTTACACGTGCAAATTTGAAAAACATAACTCAAGAGAACATACTTTTCATGGAATCACATTCTACCAGTGCCTTTTTTCCACAAGGCAGGACTGCTGGAAATTACAAAAGTAAATAACGTGGACGTTATGCCACATTTCATGCAAACAAATTCCAAATGATTTTTTTTTTCATTTCATTCCATGAATGAATTTTCATATGACTGTTTTGTATCATAAATGAATATATTATTAAAAAAAACATATAATATGTTTTAAATCTGCCCCCTAGACACAGTATACTGTCCATTCACAGTTTTTCACCAAAGGCACTTTCGCAGTAACCAGCCACAACCACAGAGCAGTACGTTCATCAGAATGAAAACGCTGTTAATCCTTTGAAAATGCACTGATTTCCTTTTGGTCTTTGATGTCAGTAAAATTCAATCAGGTATTCCGGGTAGATCTGGTTGCTGTCGAATATAACAAAGATCTTCGGGCTCATCATGTCATCCACACAGCTGTCGAAAAAGTTGGCAATGCTCATGTCTTTGGATGGTGGTCTGCAGTACTGGGGGTGACCCAGCGTATATTCCCCAACTAGAACCCGTGCCAGGAACATGCACTTGTAGGGTGGGTCGCTCTGGAAAATAGGGGGTGCTAGACCATGTCTCTGTAGGATAAAATTGTGCTTGCTAGTCGAATGACAAAACTTGCTTGAATATCTTGCGTCGCGTGCGAAATAACTTCCTGTAAATACAAAAATTGTATTAATATAATATAAAATGTTCCTTTAATTACAAATCAAAATGAAATCAAATCAAAAGTAGCGATATGCTTACAATAACCCTAATGGCAAAAAAAGGCAAACGCAAGATTTTTTACATAAAAATGTTAAATTCCATTACATGAGAAAAACAAACTCATTCTTTGGTATATTATGCATAATTTTCATATAATTAAAATTATGGCATACTTTTTTTTTATGGCAAAAAGTGGGCTTCTATAAACATGTCTGTTGTGTTCAATGGAATACAGAAGTCATACAGGTTTGGACTGACAAGAGGAAACGTATATTATGACACCCTTTTCAATTTTAGGTGAATTAATGAAAAAATTCTGAACTATACCTTTGCCATAGACGTCACCGTGGCTTCCTGTGAGACGCCAATCAAAGTTGTATGTGCATATGGCCTGTATGTTACTGTGACCGGTTCCATGAAAAAGCATCTTTTCTTCAACATCTATAACACGTTTTATCTTTCTCAACTGGGCCTTTTTCCTGTAACACATAAACCTTTATTCATTTATTGTTTTTTTTATATATATAAATTTAACCTGGATTCTGTCATAACTGAAATGTTTAAAACATGTTACATAAATGTTTCTTTTATTATAATAATTGCATATTAAGGAACCTTGTAATAAGCTTAAAATGTATACAGACAGACACACAAACATTAATGATTTCAAATATTGAAAAATGAGCCAACCTGCAGAAAAACTCCCACAGGTCCAGGTTCTGTACTCTTTGAATGGATCTGATGGGCTGGCTCATGGTTCTCTCATATAACCGGGCCACTTCTTTGTACTCAAACGTATCTCTGCATAAAGCAATAAGCTGGAAGGAAACCATCATAGGCCCATAGTCAAAAGTCATTCTGTGTCATTAAAAGTCATTATGTTTTACTTTACTTTCTCTTTGTATACCTGATAGGGTTCTTCTGTATTAACTCTTTCCCAGTGACTGGGTACAGGAAGGGCTGGGTTATCACAGATAAATCTATGAAACACAAAATTGAAAAGCCTTTTTTTAATTATTTTTTTATAATAATTTAAAGGGGTCATATGATGCGATTTCAAGTTTTCCTTTCTCTTTGGAGTGTTACAAGCTGATTGTGCATAGATAAGATCCCTGAAGTTGCAAAGACTAAAGTCTCAAAACCAAAGATATATTCTTTATCAAAGTTAAGACTCTGCCACGCCCCCCTAAAACGGCTCGTTCTAACACGCCCCCACATATCTACCTCACTATGTGGAAATATTTGCATAATGCCACCCAAATGTGCACGCAAAGAAAGAAGGCGTGGTTTCAGTAACCGCAGTTAGTGTTGAAGCAGCATGTCAGGGAGACGCTGTGTGTTTCTAGGAGAAAGCAAAAGCACTTTATTTGGTCTTCCGAAAGTAGATGCATTTAGGAATCTTTAAGATTACTTACAACAGAACAGCAACGCATTTTATGGACGACCGTTTCGTGAACCTATGAGAGGAGGTACTAGAGAATGAGGAGTTACGTCACAATCTTTTCACTCCGCATTGCATTTCGGGAAGGCGCCGCCATATTAGCAGGATACGCTATCCGTTCCCATGGTTACTTCTCATTCTCTATAAGGATAAGTGCTTATCTTTTGTTTTGTTTTTGCCTTGAAGTTAAACAACCATTCATTCTTCATTGTATCGTTTGCAGGGAAGAGAAGCTATTTTATCGCACTGCATGATATGCACCAGCATTTCTCTCTTAGGTTTTGTAGAATTTGGTTTACAGTGTTTAACGTTACCCGATTAGCGTGAAAACAGTGTCGCCCGCTGGACGCTCGCTGCTGCTTCAGTCATCATATGTTACATTATCCAAATAAAAGTGTGTGTTCAACAAGCTGACAGAAGTCGATCCATTTCTTTGTTGGAAACTTTTAAATGACAAAGTATAATTGTTGTCATTATAAATATTCATTTTTCCATGGCCACGGAGGAGAATCACCGATTGTGGGTCACATTCAGCGAACAGTCACGAACTGTACTTTTTATATTTATTTCAACAAATGACAAGCAAAATCAAATCCCTAGGAGCTTGGGGAAAGTTTTGTAGCATTTTCAAATGCTGGTTTAATGTGCTAAGACAGTGATGCTAAAAGACATGCAGATGAGCCAGAATATTAACGCGACATGTTTAAATGTAAAGCGTTTTCCTCGCTTTAGGAAACTGTAATCTAGAAAGTGCTTCTGGATTAAGACAGCGATTTCTAAAGTTCATATTTTGGGCTCATCTGTTTTTCCACACATATTATGCTTTATTAATAAGATGTGTGTACAGAATGTGGTCTTTAAAAATCACTGTCTCGGTGCATTAAGCATGTTCTTTATATGAGAGGAAAATGCTTAACGTGTAAATAAACGCGTTGCGTTCACATTTTGATCTTATATGCATATCTGCACATAGTATATGCTTTACAATTTTGTCTTTATCACTGTCTTGGTACATTAAGCCACTTTAAGCATTTTAGAAAGTCCCCTGTTCTGTTCCAAGTTCTGCTAATTCACAAGCCTAGTGAGAGTCATGCTCGCAAAGAAGGTAATGTTAACTATTAAACCAACCAAATCAAAACTGTTATTAGTTTAAGTGTTTGCTATTGATTGTTTAAATGCGGAGTTTTGTGCATCGTGTATGTGTGTGTGCGCGTGCACGTATGTGTGAGAGAGAGAGAGCGCGAGAGAGACCAGCTTCATCACTGTGTCTATCACGCGACTCTGTTCCCCTTTCGGGCTCTGTCTTTACATTTATTTTGAAAGATGAAGCTCGCGATTATGGTAAGGGGCGTTACATTTCCGACGAGTGCTTGCGGTGTTCGGCCAATCACAATGCACTGGGTCAGCTGGCCAATCAGAGCAGACTGCGCTTGTCGGAAGGAGGGACTTTGTAGAAAACGAAGCGTTTGAGAGAGGCGGGGCATAGAGGACCTACAGTAATGTACAGTATTTGAAAAATAATGTGTTTTTGGAACATTAAAGCATGTCAACATATTCTGTTACACCAAATACACAAAATAATGATCTTTAAAAAAGCATCATATGACCCCTTTAATATAATAAACAATATGGATGTACAATATAAATGTTACAATTTAAAAAAAGCTGGAGCTTACCTAAAGTCAGTAGCTGAATGCAATGCCCTTTTGATTGGCCTTTCTTTTCCAGTAGTCACATTAACTTGTTTCATAGCTAGTGATATGATTAAAAAGATGAAAAGAGAGATGACAGTAATGACATTTATGACCACAAATCTAGATAAATAACACAAATCTGTATTTTGTTCGGTAACCAACCAGAAAAGTCTAATTTATATGTATATTTAGCAGTATAGAAGTCCATTGAAGCATGCTGATTCTTGATGCAGTTTTGTTCGATTTGCTCATTGGTGACAGAACAACCTGTGCTGGGAACTTCCTGTAAGTGAAAAGGAAACAGCATGATGTAATCAGCAAAAAGTCAACTTATGAATTGCCATACATATTAGTCTAATCTATCAGACTGCAGTTTTATAGAAGGCAGTACATACTTCAAACATATGCCAGACGCCACACTCGGCAAGGTAGAACCAGCGCCACTTGGCCTCTGATGTGTCCATTTCTTCCTCACATGACTCTTCATCAGTGGGCTTCTGGGGGTCTTCTGAGCTCTCCAAATGCTTGACAGTGGCCTCACAGTTCATCCTCAAAGCAAATACACAAATACTCATTCATGAAAGACATGTGTTCACCAAATATGCTGGGATGATCACATTTAGTAATACTTTTTAATTTAAATGTAGATTTAGCGTATTAATGCATTGTGTATACCTTTCGAAAACGCCCTTTTCCTCTTGAAGTTATCAATGATGTTGGATTGATCTAAATTCGAGGAGACATCTTTTCTATCTAGATTCTGTTTATGTTTCGCTTTCCTCAATCTCTGGTTGTTGTTCGCTCTACTTCCGCATTCGCCGGCCACGACGTCATCATGCGTCGTTCAACTACGAACATTATTTTTTTAAATAATCTTTATATAAATATTGCACGCTTTTTTATCTGGAGGAGATAGGCTACTCTGCAGTGGAGATACGGGATTTTAGCACTGGGGTAAAATTGCAGCCCAGACAAATAAAAGTTACAATATTATCTCATTCTTTATTTTCAAATTCACCATTAGGCAAATAAATAAATAAATGATGGTAGGTAGGAAGGAAGGAAGGAACATTTAAAGCTTTATTATTTTAGAACCCAGAGAGCATGTAGTAATCGGCCCGAGCTCGGCTGGCCCTCGGCGCCTTCGGCTCAGACTCGGCATCGGCGAGTGTTATCGGGGGGCCGAGTGTGGTCCGCAGCTCGCTCTCCCGCATGTGTTTGTGATGCAGCTGTAAAGCACTGGCCCGATTCCTGTTCACCGTAACCGGCCCGAGTCTGGCTGTAGAGTCCGGGCCACTTCTAGCAATGACTCGGCTCGGTTCAGTCATAGATGGTTGCATTAATATAGAAATAATTATCACAAAACTGTTTTAACATTAACATTACTGATACAGCAGCCATATCACCCTGTAGCCCAAGACTGGTTACCCACTGGAGCTAAGCAGGGCTGAGTCTGGTCAGTACCTGGATGGGAGAGAGACCTCCTTGTATTATTATTAATCTGACTTAATACCCTGACAGTATCTTACAATGTTAACTACATGTTTAATGTCGTGAATTTGTCAAAAACAAAATATCTGCGGTACAACTTTAAATAATAAAACAATATTAAAAGTGCTAATACTAATATTCATAACAATAGCAAATCTATATTTATGTAACGCAGCAGGTCATTCTTTTATACGCTTGCGTGGGCGGAGTTTTGACTCGTACCTGTGCTCATGAGTGCTGTCCGCTATGTTAATGCGGTTTGGATGCAAACAAAACAATGGAAATGTGGGTGTATGGGGTCATTTCTATAAAGCAATCCTGGTAAGCATCGTTGAGCATTTAAAGCTTTATTATTTTACTAGTGCAGATTAAGCTCATACACTCTTAAAAATAAAGGTGCTTCAAACGGTTCTTCAAGCGATGCCATAGAAGAACCATTTTTGGTTCCACAAAGAACCATTTAGTCAAAGGTTCTTTAAAGAACCATCTCTTTCTTACCTTTTTATAATCTGAAGAACCTTCTTTCGCTACAAAGAACCTTTAGTGAAACAGAAAGGTTCTTCAGATATTAAAGGTTCTTTATGGAACCATTTAGACAAAAAGGGTTTTTCTTTGGCATCGTGAAGCACCTTTATTTTTAAGAGTGTAAAGGAACGTGCAAAAAGTTAACCTCATGTGAAACAATGAGGTTTCTTTCTTGTTTTCCCCCGAAAACGTAAGTTAATAAATAAACGAGATCTTTTTCATCTTTGAACTAAATATTGTGGATCTAGAGCAGGGATGGGCAACTTTGATAGCGACGAGGGCCAGCATTTTTTCTCCTTTATACCAAGGGGCCAGATTACTAATCCACGTCCACACACCTTTTACACCATCCTTTTTATTGAAGGAAATGAAAGTATAACTAATGTCATTTGTTTTTAAAGATGTTATTAAGTATAAAACTTGTGCAGTTATGCTAATTCAGAAGGAAAACTTTGTTGTCAGTGGACAGAAATATTACCCCGCAAGCCAATGTAAACATCTCAATTGAGTTGTCTGTAAATTTGCAACAAATAAATATACAGAGGTCCTTTTTTTTATTAGTAGCCTACAGAACATTCTCAAAACAACCTAAAAGGACAGTTAAAAAGGGCTTAATTAAAAAAAAAAAAAAGTTATTCCAAATGGTAGCCTACCATAAAATAACCTGGTACCTGCATGATTTTTAAAATCAAATTTAAGACCTTTAAAGACCTTTTTAAGATCTGCACTTCACATTTCAGCCTTTAAACTATTTTTAAGAAAAGGGATGAGTCAAAAGTATCAATTATTATATTAATTTAAACAATTATTATCAATTATTACATTAAATAACATATAAATATATCTTAGTGTCTTAATTGTTTTGATTTTTATAATGCATTAGCTTTTTGTCGATCCATTGGCTCACATTTAAAGATATGTAGCAAAAATAGCAGAAGGGCTTATTGAAAAAGCACATTCGTTCTCTGCCAGCAGGTGTCACTTTCGGAACTGCAGAAATATAGTGGTTTCCCCTGTAACCGCAGTACACAAAGCTGACTGCAGCGCTCAAGTTTATTCAGTGAAATCGTAGCCTTTTGAAGTTTAATCGTCATATTAATCCATATAGCAATTATTGTGAGCGGGAGAGGGGATCGGCTGGAAACTAGCGACCTCTCCTAGTTGGAGATAGTATTAACATTTACGTGACTTGCTTTTCAAATGTTTTAAAATTGATCATCCGAGTCTAATATGATCCAGCGGGCCGTACTAAAAGACGGGCTGCCAGTTGCCCATCCCTGGTCTAGAGTGTTTACGCTGCAGAAAACTTTGATGAGCAACACTACGATCCGCAAACAAACAGATGAGGAAGAGGAGGATGATGACGGTCCAGCGTATAGGCTAAAATGAGAAAGGTTTGTTTGAATTTTTAGTTTCCACATTCTTATTTGTATGCAACTGCAATAAGCAAACGTTGTTTTTATTCCATATTACTTAAATGACGTGAGCGAAGTTTGTATGTATTAGAGAAATCGTTGTTTTCGACTAAATACATACGCTAATGATAAGCTAGTTTCAGTGATTTTTAGACGAGAAATGTACTGCAATCATATTAATATGCATCAGTCTGTCTGAGATCATCTGCAATAGCTCTGCCCTCTTTTACAGTTGCTAAATGTAAGCGGACTGTACATGTACAGATGCTCACCTCAGCCAAAACACATGTAAGTTAACTGATTACAACACAAACACAGCATCACAGTTTATCACTTTAGATGCTTCTTCACTCAGCATGAAGAGACGCACAGGCATAGCTGATTATTTCTCTTAATGTGCCTCAAATTTATTTTAATATTTCTTTTTTGTAGTAATCAAGAGAAGTGTTTTCATCGCTGAAGAAACGGCAGACGGTACTCCTCAGACACCTGTGAACACCGAGCAGTGCTTGGAGTCCAAGACAGTGGACATCATCTTTGTTATGCCGGTACTTCTCTGACTGGACTAGCAAGCAGTTAGAGCCAATGAGAAAGTTGGTAAGTTCAAGTAAATGTCAGCATGACGATTTGACCATTGATGTTATATTCTGCAGCAACTGGGAGAATTCTTAACTGAAGGGACCTACTGTTCAACAGCAATCTTTGGATCTGCTGAATGTGTTTTTACCAAGCATTCTACTGCTGCGTTCACTGTTATTTTTCTGCAGAGTGATGACTAGTGAGAAGTGTTTCTATTAATTTACTTAAAAGAATAGTTAACCCAGAATTCTGTCATCATTTACATACGTTTTCCAAACCTCTGACATTTGGTTTTCTGCAGAACTCAAAAGAAGATACTTTGAAGAATGCTGGTAATCATAACCAACACGTTTGTCAGTCTTGGGCAACATGACTTTAATTTTGGGGTGAGCTCTACCTTTAATTAGCATGCTACACACTAAATGTTATTAAAGGTAGGGTATGTAATTTTTCAAAAACACTTTAGAAAACTGATTCAGGCCGAATAGCAAAACAAACTTGTAGCCAATCAGCAATAAGGGGCGTGTCTACTCGTGATGTGGAGGAGAGAGCTTTCAGTGCATGGGATGGAAAATAGCCGAGCCGAGAGACAGAAAGATAGAGATGGCGAATAAAAAACAAAAGAGGGAAACGTCTGCGGAATGATAAGGCAAGAAGTATTTTACCAGTGTAAATATCGGATCAGCTTTCCAGCGCTGGAGAGAACTCAAGGAGCGGAGGCCTGCGATCGGACACCGAGGTTGCTTTGTTTCTTCTCAATAGGTGAGTAACACCGTGTCTACAACAGCTAAAGTCTGCCTACACTGGACGCGATCAAACGACCGTTGCAAACCATTTGAAATGTGTGTCAGCACGTCATAAATAGAACCCGGCAGCAGTTTTCTGTCGGGGATTTGTTGTGCCGCGCCGCTCACGTCTGATGTAGACACGTTGTAACATTGGTTTTGCTTTGTTTCACAAAACTAATTGTTGCCTCGGTTGCGTACGTATATGTGGGGCGGAGCTATCAAAATAGGGGCAAGACCCTTTTGGGGTAGGGGCGTGTTTGTTTTGGTGATTTCAAATATCAACATTGGCTACCAGAGATCGCTTACCCTGCCTTTAATGCTGGGCACAGCCACTTATTGTGCTGTCATTGCAGTTAGTGCTGTAAATAGTCTGTCAAACAACAGGTAGAACATATAATGTATATTTAATTTCATTAAGTATATTATTAAGTATAGTATATTTTTTGCTGTTTACAGGTGCAGAAATGAAAGCTCACAAAAACAATAATATCACTGGATTAAGATGCCGAAAGACACCGTTACACCACCACAACCATAAATCCTGAGCGATTTGAAAATGAGCAACAACCAAGGAACAGTAATCATTGTTTTACTCAAAAATTATCCATGGTGATAGTTGTAAATGATTAGATTAGACAAAAGTACAAAATGTGTTTAATTTCAAAACTTTGCCATTTACCAATGTATTGTTCTAAACACTTACAATAAGGTATCATTAGTTAACATTTAGTAAATGTTGAAATGAACATTAACTAAAAATGAGTGATACATTTGTTACAGTTTTAATCTTTGTCACTGTTTGTTAATAATAAAAAACGTCTCGGTTATGCATGGTAACCCTCGTTCCCTGAAGGATGGAACGGAAACGTCGGATGACCGACGAAATTGGAATCTCGCTTAGAGAGACCAATCCACTTCGAGTGTAAACTAAACGAGCCAATGCACATTGGCATGCGATTATTGCATCCAGCTGCTGCTGATCACAGCGTGAGTATAAGTAGGCAGCAGA